TTTGGATCTGTACAACTTCGGCTAATCCAACAACCTCAAGTCAAATGATGGAATCATGCGAAGAGAATTTATATTTGAGTTCCACATTTTCAACAATGAAAAGATAGAATATACCAAAACAGTAAACAATTAGAAAGACATGTATCGAAGTGGAGAGCGCAATTAGTAGCCTTTACAAGTTTACATACCGAGTAATAGCAATTTTGCCTGTGCTAAACGGCTTTAAAGTTGTTACACCAACTCATGCTTCTTTTAGTTGAACCTTCAAATTCATCTCTAAATAAAATAGCAGACGCAAACAGGGAAGGAGTCAATGAAGGACAAAGGGGTACAGCCGCACCCCCTAAACTTTTGAAAAACGTTTAATATGGTACTCTAACTTTTATTTGTTAAAAATTTTGTTTCTATAATATGAATTTCAACAACCATTTCAAATGAAGAGAAAATATTTAATACCTAAATAAAGAGTTTTCAAAAAATAAAGATATGATTCAAAATAAAATGAACTTTAATTCAAAATAAAATGAACTTCATGCTAATTTAATTAATTTAGAATTGGGGTTCTTAAACATTTTCTTTTTTATTAAGCCTAAATAAAAAAAACTTTAAATTTACAATTTTCTTTAGTATTTTTTTATTTTCTTTCTTAATATTTTATGTAATCATTCAAAGTTTTTTTTATGTGGCATTGCTATAGGCTTTTACCTTTTATGATTGAATATATAATCATATTTTTTTTTGTATTAAATCAATTTAAGTTAAATTTTACTTTTTAAATGAAATATTCTAATATTTTTTTATAATATCAATATTTATCAATATAAACTCCAAAAAATTAAGAGGAAAGATACTCCAAAACTATATTATTTTAATAAAACTAAAATACTTTCATTCTTATTTTAAAAGTATATTGTTTTTATCTTTTTTTAATACAAGTTTATTGAAACAATATAAGCTTTTAGTGTTTTTCTTTCTTTTTATATATTTAACTAACAAACACATTTCTTTCTTTTTTATTTATTCTTCAATTGATCATAACAAGATTTATTATTGCGATATTTTATTTTTATTTTTATTTTAATAAATACATTTATATCTTTTTTAAAAATATATCAATAAAAAAGATTACAAGTGAATCTTTTTATAAAAAAATTAAAAAAAAATAAATTAGTGTCTTAAAAGATACTTGAAGCTCAAATTTTCAACAATAATTCTCACCCCCCTAATTGAATTTCCTAACTCGGCTCCTAGAGACAAATTTATTTTTTTTAAAAAGTAAAAATGAACTATTTTTTTAAAATTATTAATTAAGATAAATTATTAGTTACTTTTCATGTGATATTATCATACATTAAGAATTTTTTTATCATTTTAATTTATTTTTAATAAAAAAATTAATATATAATAATGTCACATATTAAATATTAGATACTTTATCTTAATTAATAATTAAAAAAATTATCTTTACCTTTTTTAAGTGCAAATTTATCTCCTCCTTACTATTTAGGAATAAATTTAGAGGTTTAGCTACTTCCTTTCAATCTTATTTCTATTGAATTAATTATTTTGTAATTTTTTGGAAGATAATAATTAGTTAAGTTGAAAAATGGACTCTAGAAAAGAGGGAGAGAAAATAAAAATATCACGATCACGACTAACTTTTTTCTTCCCACTCGATTAAGCTACGTGGAATTTGGTACATCACGAAAGTCAATTAAAACAAAACTACGTTAGATTAGGAGAATGAGAATCAAAGCAAAGAAAAATTAGGGAAAGGTGAGGTCTAGCTATCTTTTTGGGCCCATAGAATATTTTTCAGGAATAACTAGATAAACAGGGTTAGACCGACAAGAGTTTAACCGAAAGTTTAAATTTCATTAAACTTTTAATTGTTTAAATACTATTAATTAACATCAAATAAATAATATTATTAAATAAATTTATATTTTTTATTATCAATGGTATAATCCATCTTAAATAAATTGTTAATTTTTTTTTAGTTAGTTTTTAATATTACAAAATTTATAAAAATTAAAATTTAAAATAAAAAGTGATCGTTATACTAAGTGAAGTGTAAGTTTTTTTTCTTTTAAATAAAAAAAATAAGATATTTTGACATTTAAAAAATTAAATTTCTTGTAAAATTATTTAAAACCATTTAATAAATCTTCCTTCCATGCATGTTGATTCATTAAAATTATTTTAATCTTTTCATTATCAGACATGGCATTATAATTAGGTTAAGATACAAGTTTGATCCATCAACTTTCTAATTTATACCAATTTCATCTTCAAACTTCAAAACGTACCAACATGATCTTTGAACTCAAATTTTTAACACTAGAAAATCTAAACGTTGGCACACGCTAGTTGTCAGAAAATCATTAAAAAAAAAAAAAAAAACTAAAGACATGGAAAATATTTCTTGTCTCCACATCAGAACTGTACTTCATTTTTATTCTTTTTAACTGTGGGTGGATTTTAAATTTACTATTTAGCTAAATATATAATCTTATTATATTATAAAAATTATTCAAATCATCAATAAATTTCAAATAAATACCTAATAAGTCTTCAAAAATTTTCAATAAATCTCTTTAAAATCTTCAACAAATCCCTTTAAAATATACATAAAGTCTCAAATAAATATCCAATAAATCTTTTTTAAGAGTTTAAAACCCACCTCATACTTAGAAATCTAATAATTCAAATAGTATATTATCACTCGATTTTAATTCAACTTCAAGTTAAATTTGGACTCAAGTTTTACTAATTATCTTATACTATATTATAAAAATTGTTAAATGTTTAAATAAATCATAAATAAATACCCAATGAGTTTTTTATAATTCCCAATAAATCTTCAATAAATA